CAATTTTTTCGTCGACTTCCACGGCCGCACCCATAACCTTGTGCTTGGTCTCGTCCTTCTTGTTCGGCGCTGCCACCGCAGCGCCATGCGATTTCTTGAACCGCTGTTCCAGCAACCGTTGCGCCTCGCCCGGCTGCACCTTGGGGCATAACACCTTGTGTTCCACGCTGCCGCACTTCAAACAGCCCTTGGCTGGCACGGCCGGGGCCGCCGTCTTGGTTGTCGCCCCGTCGTCGGGTCTCTTCGACGGCGCGTGTCGCCGTGTCTTGTCGCCTTACTGGCGAGGCGGATTTGACTCCGCTTTCTCCTTCACCGAGATGAGTTGCGACTCGAACAGCATGAAAGTATCCAACAACGTCACAAGCCACGTACAGAACGCTCGCACGTCGGACTTGAACGCCTTGTTCGTCTCGCGCGTTAACTGTCGCTCGACGGCCGCCTTCAGATGCGGCGGTCGAATCGCAGCGGTCATTATCTAGACCGACTGCTTTGGCTCTTGCTCGGGCAAGTGCGCAACGTCCAGTTGTTCCAACTTCTCGTAGAAGTCGGCCAGCAGTCTTCCCACCCGATACTCGGCGATTCGGATCTTCGTGACCATCTTCAGCGACGTCATCGCTTTGGACACCGCATCTAGGTCCAACTCCTGCACATCGCGTGCAGACAGGAAGTAGTCGCGCCAGTCGTTCTCGGTAAATTCTTCGAACGACTTTCCAAAGTAGTGTGCGAACACACGTGACACAGTCTTTTGGTCGATGCACGCCGCCAGCGGCGTCAAATACAGCGTGCCGCCCATGCCGCTGTTGAGGACTTGAACTCGCCGCGAATAGGCGAGATATTCGTCCATGAAATCACGACGCTCGTGCTTCGTGCTTGCTCTGTACACCGGTGCCATAGGCACCTGTTGCACACCCATGAGGTTTTCGGCACGCGATAAAACAGGCGCCTTCGCCTGAGCCGCTTGTGCCGATCGTTGACTCGCTGCTTCAGCGAATAGACCCCATCGCTCGTTGTCACGGCGAACCTTTTGGTTCAGCTCTTCTACCTTGTAGCGTTGCTGGCGCATCACATCCGATGCTTGTCGGAGCATATCTTGGTGCGCTTCTGAGACTCTGGCTTGCTCAGTCATCGCTCTCTTTAGCTCCTCGTGCTGGTGCACCAACTCCTCTTGCTGTCGCCATAGAACCGCTCGCCACTCATCTTGTTCCTGGCGATTCTTCTCCATCGCCGCTGCCATGGCTAGTTGTCTGGCCGTTTCTTCTTCCAGACTTTGCGCCATGGCACTTTGCTGCGCATGGAACTGCGCCAGCTGTTCGTAAGTCATCTGGTTGAAATGACTCGAGGTCGCAGCAGCGCGCTCCACGCTCTGCATCCGTAGCTCGTCCATCTCCGCTTGGGTCGGCGGAGGTAAAGGCACGGCCACCACGGTCTTCATCGACTGTGCACGTATCACACGAGCCAGCGAGCTCGTGAACGGTAGGCCTTCTTTTTCCATTCTTGAACGACAAGTAGCAGGCTGCTACTAAAAAATT